TTTTAATTAAGTTTAAAACTTTTTTATTTAACGTAAAATTATATTTTGTTTCAATTTACTTTCAAATTCTTCAGTTGCTGAAGGGGCTGCATAGTTTTCATAAATTGCATAGTTCAGAATAGCTATAATTGTACCAGATGGTTGCGTTCAGTTAAGTTGGACTAGACTCTAATACAAACCGCTCAGATTGACAACAATAAAACTGACTGAAATGATCGAAAGACTGAGTGTGAGACTTTGATATTAGATAAAATGAATATTGATAAAGTTTACCTTTATGTACAGAATCTGAATATCGTAAAATATTTTAAAAAATTGCAATAATATCGTATCGTGCGTTAAGTATTGTGATAATATCGTATCGTGGGATGTATGGTGATTCCCACCTCTACTGTCCTCTGTTCATCCTCCGTCCCAATTTGTGTGTCACAGTGACAAAAACACACACTGAGCAGAGAGGAAGAGGATGGGGACAGGTGTAGTAAGGATAACATTGCTCTACTTGGTGATGTTCGGTTGCTGCAACCATTGGTATAGTCCTTTAGTTTTTGAAAGATGTTATCCAGAATGAGCCACAATGTAGAAATAAAATTGTGTTTCATCTTACCCACTAGCCTTTATATACATCATAAACCGTGCAGTCACAATTTACATTCAAATGCAGAAGGTAAACTATTCAATTCAATTCAGTTTTATTTATTTAGCCAAATCACAAAAACAGTCATGTAAAGGCACTTTATATTGTAAGGTAAAGGTAAAGAGCCTACCATAGTACAGAGAAACCCCAAGAAGTAGACCAGCTCCTATGATCAAGCAATTGGTGACAGTGGGAAGGAAAAAACTCATTTAAACAGGAAGAAACCAGGCTTAGGAAATGGCAGCCATCTACCACAAATGCTTGAAATGTATTACTGGTCATATTTTATTAATTTTGATCATTTGTTAAGTGTCAGGGTCCTGGGTCCCCTGACCCAGCATGTTTAGTTCTTTGTGCTTTTTGTATTATTGTACTTGTGTGCATTATTCTATGGTTTCTAGTTTCGATCCCTTGCCCTTCATGTTTCTCTGTGTACCCTCTGTTCTGTGTAAGTCTGTGTCTGCATGTTTGAGTTTACCTCTGTGTCTTTCGGTTCTTAGAGTCCTCTACCTTATGGTTTGTCTCTGTGTTTCTTAGTTGCTGTCTCCACCGTGTCAAGTTTGCGTCTCTATGTCGTACTTCCTGTTTTACTTTGAAGGTCCGTGTCTTATGTGAATGCGTCCTGCTTTCCTTGTCTCGTCAGTCCTGATTTCTCCCAGCTGTGCCCTCCTTCTGTGTCTCATTCTCCTCGTTACTTCCCAGTGTATTTAAACCCTGTGTTTCTCTGAGTCAGTGTCGCGTCGTCCCTCTTGCTGTGTGGATCTACCGGTGAGGCTTAGCTTAGCTTAGCTTAGCTTAGCTTAGCTTAGCTTAGCTTAGCTTAGCTTAGCTTAGCTTAGCTTAGCTTAGCTTAGCAAGCTGTGACTTAGAGTTAACACCTTGAGTTTGAGCGCCTGCATTTTGGGTACTCCTGCCTGCCACACTGCACTCCTTGACATTAAGAAGACTTGTATGAGAAACATTTATCTGACACATTTATCTTAAGAGTATTTATGGTTATTAAATTCACCTTCTTAATGTGAGTCAAGTCTTTTCTCCCATCTTTCTCTGTTCTTTTTCCCCCTCCTCCCCCACTGGTCATTGCACATTTTGTCAATGACCAGGTCAACAGTGATCGCTGACTGTTTTAGGAGCTTTTTGAGATTAAATAGAAGAAAATACAAAACATTAAACATGTTAACAACACAAAAGCCATATTAAACGCAGACTACTTTAGGCCCGGAAGTAGGATTCGTCACGTCATCACTTAACGACCGGATAAAGCACCTTGAGGTGAGTTTTATTGTGCACTGAACAGAAGAAGAAGACATATCCAGGGAGAACAGTTGCACTTGAAAGAAATGTAGTGTGTGATTTGCATGGCCAGGCAGGAGGGGATGGACACGAGGTCTTTTCTCTCCTCTGACCCACCAGAACGGTGCCCTAGCTGGGTTACAGACTTCCTGATTTACTAATAAGGCACTGATGAGGCCTTACTAATAAGGCCCTCTCCCGCTTAACAAAACACACACTTCAGCAGTGTAGCCCACCCCTTTGTCACAAGAGAACTTGTGAGTAGGGTTTACAGAGGCGAGGAGTGATTTGCATGTTAATGGATTTGCGGATTCTAAATGAGGCCAGTTTACAGTTACACCTTTTTGCATGTATGAAGGTCTAACGTCTAATTATGTCATTTTAATGAGCTGAGATGAGCTTTAGAGGTCTAAAAAAATGCTGAGATTTTTTAATATATATAAATATACTGTATCAAAAATGTTCTCCAAAGTCTCCAAACACATTTCAAATATCATACAACACTTTTCTCCAACACTTGGTGTCTCACTGAACTACTTCCCAGTATTTAGTCTTTTGTCCCTGGAGGCAGTTGATGGAGCATATGCCTTACTCGCTGAGATGGAGATCAAGTGTGTGTTAGAGCAGCTGAGAAGCAAGATGGAAAGAGCAGGAAAGTGTGTGATTTCGTCCTACATTCAGAGGCTCGAGAGGCTACTCTCATGTGTGAAAGCACAGTGCAGTGTCTGTGTTTCACTTAGAAGCATGTGGCTTGTGTGTGTATGCGTGTGTATTGGGTAGGGGTATCAGGCCAACAAAATTAGTTTACCATCAGCTGTGCTCTCGTTCAGTCCCGGCCACCATCCAGTATTTCTTCCAACTCTCTCCATCTAATTGTGGCTCTGGACAGCTTTACAGCACCACCCTTGGGATGCTACTGTGGCCAGATCCAGAACACTAGGCTTTATGTGGATTGAATGTTTTATAGTTATGGACATAATATTTAAGTATAGAAACAGTCGCACCACAGCACCCTGCTCTAATAATTACGCCAGCCTGTAGGTAAGTGGGAAAAGCTGTGTAACTGACCTCACACTGCGTAGTGTGAGAGATGTAGATAACCCAACAGTTGAATCAAATCAATGCCATGTCTCAAGTTGGTTACATTAAGCGGGAGGGGACAGACAGACTCCACATTTTTTTAAAGTAGAGCGGGGAGAGCGGGAACTGTAGTAGCCACATGGTGGTGAGTGCTGTCATGTTAAAACAGTTAGCCTTTGATAGCTGCTGCAGTGGTCAGAGGACAAATCATTAGAAATTTTCATCACTGTCTAGAATCTGATGGATGTAGCTTATGTGTGTGCCTTCACGCAAATGCATGGCCATGAGAAAAACGATTGGTGGGGGAAGAGAATGGAAGAAAATGATTGGTGATGTGCTTTTGCTTGTAACAGTGACTTGACTTATAAGTTAGTCAGCAATTTGGAAAAAAAATGTGATCTCAAATTCTAGGTACCCATATACGACTTTTACCCAGTATGTATCTGCTTCAGAATTTCTTATGTTCAATCAATTCCGTTTTTATATATGTACCACCAAACTGGAACACTCACCTCAAGGCACTTTACATTGTAAGGTAAAACTCCAATGATCACCTGACTCCCTACAGACAGAGGCAGATTTTTTAAAATCAATTTTAAATCATGCTTTTTATTGTTTTTGTTTTTTAATGTCTCTGTAAAGCACTTTGAATCACCTTGTTGTTGAATTGTGCTATATAAATAAACTTGCCTTGCCTTGCCTTACATCTAATGTAGCATAACTAAGGGATGGTTCAGTGTCCTCTGATGCAGTCCTAATTATGAGCTTTATTGAAAAGGCTATTGTGTCATAGAAGACAGTAACTCCAACTCCAGTAATTTGCCAAATTCAGTCCCATTTTCAAGGAAAATTATCTTAATTTTTTTCCTTGATCGCTTTTAGCATAGCTATGCAGCAGGTGTTTGTTGGAGAATACATGTACCGGTGTTATGTAAAATACAAAATATGAATAACTTTATTCCATTACAGTTACTGTTTTAAAAGGTGATAATTAGAATACAGTTACTTTGTTGAAATAAACGGATTACACGGTGGTCTTTTCCTGTTTCATATGTTAGGCTATTCCCTCTCTAATATTGGTAATCCCACGCATCGCAGAAAACCCAAACAAAACACTAAATAAGAGGTTCTAATGTAAGCATCCTGTTAATTTTAGTGGCATCAGTTACACAAAGGACCCAGAGCCAGAAGTGCACGGGCAGGAATGCATTTCTTACTTGGAAATTCTGACACCACTTCACATTTAAAGAAGAAAAAGGGATGAGCAAAATCTGACCATTCAATGCAAGGTTTGTTCGCCAGCAACCAAGCTGCTCTCAGCATCAAATGACTCCACTTCCAACCTAAAGAAACATCTGGAAGCAACTTCTTTTTAAAAACTAATGTTAGCCTACTGCAACTACCTTGTGTTAGCTGTGGTAGCTATCTGTGTTATGTGCCACTTCAGTATCTTCGATGTACTATTGCTGTGTGCTGTGTACTGAAGGCTAATCGCCATCAAGCTAACATTGTTAGCTGAGGTCTCTTACTTACTTAGACTTTCTAAATAATAACATGAACTTATGAACTATATGAACTTTTGAATTAAGCAAAAAAATTTATATCTGTATTTATAAATTACAAACTAAGTATGAGTAATGCTTTATAAATGATGAATTAAGCATTTACCGATACCTTTCTAGTACAAAATAGTGTGATATTTTTATAAAAATAAATATAAGAACGATTATTATCACCAAATAGGTTTTTCCTTAAGACTTTTTTTTAAGAAACTGAAGGGAACCTTATAGTAATGTAATATTTCTTAAATCAGGTCTTTTTTCTTTTTTTCCCTCTTTCTTTCTTTCTTTCTTTCTTTCTTTCTTTCTTTCTTTCTTTATTTTGCATAACAGAAACCAACTGGAAAAAACTAGTATTTCCTCCCTCTTTGGCCAGAGCAGACCATGTGATTGTGTTTCACAGGGTCAAACAAAGCTCCTCCCCTATTTTTTTTCCTTAGTGGACAGGAAGGAGGTCCGCACCTACAGCTGTGCTACGTATGTGGATTTTCAAATGAATATCGGTAAAAGAATATACAGTAAATACAACATTTAGTAAGGTCAATTTATGAGAGGTTTTGAAGCTACTTGAACTGTGAGTACTACATTTGAGGAAACAGACGTGACTCTTTGAAAGTGAAAGTGAAAGTAAGGCTGCTTAAGGGAAAACGGAAAAAGACAACCAGAGGACAAAACAGCAAAATGGCTTCTAATGTATCACAGTCTGAGCTGGACTGCACTTGCCCTGTTTGTTGTGATATATTTAAGGATCCTGTTGTCTTGCTGTGTGGTCACAGCTTCTGTAAGTACTGTCTTGAGGAGTGGTGGAGGCAGAGTAGCCTTCAGGCTTGCCCGGTCTGTAAAGAAATATTTCCAATGTCTCGGGCACCACGTAACCTGGCACTGAGAAACCTCTCTGACAACCTAAGAAGAGAGAGGAGTCAGGCTGCATCAGCATCTAAGGAGCTCTGCAGTCTGCACAACGAGAAACTCAGACTCTTCTGTCAGGATGACCAGCAGCTCATCTGTGTGGTTTGCAGGGATGCAAAACAACACAAGAAACACAACTGTGTCCCCATCAACGAAGCAGCAGAAGAGCACAGAGTAAGCAGTGCATGGATATTTGTTTTTAATTTGGTAGTTAACATAAGTTAACAAATGTTTTGTAAATAATCTAAGTGAAATCTAACTAAGTGATCTCCCGTATACTATGTAATAATTATTTACTTTATGTGTAGACTAAAATCAAGATTGAGGTGATGCACTTAAAGAGCAAACTGGGGACGTTTGAAGCAGAAAAACTCAAATATGATAAAATGGCTAACCACATTAAGGTAAGTTACAGACATACAATGCTATTGAAGCTAAAGCAAACATTGTATCTTGTCTTCCATCAGAATTGTGTTTCTCCTCAGCTCCAGGCCCAGGATACAGAGAAGACGATCAAAGGAGAGTTTCAGAAGTTTTACCAGTTCCTGAGAGCAGAGGAAGCTGGGAGGATAGATGCAGTGAGGAAGGAGGCAGCACTCAAGAGTCAGACAATGAACCTGAAGATCGTAAACATGACTGCTGAGATCTCCTCACTTAGAGAAAAAATCAAAACCTTAGAGGGGGAGATGAAAGCTGGAGGCATGGCATTTATGATGGTATGTGTGTAATCAATACTTTTGATTTAATGTTGTCTATCTGACAAAATCCGAAGTACTGACTTTTTAAAAATATTTTCTCCTTCTTTATTTGATAGAACATCAAATCCACTATGGCGCAGTAAGTACAAGAAAGTGCTGGTTAATGATGTGTTCAAGTATGAAAATCCATCCATCATAACCACTCACTTCTCTTTGAGTTAGTTAGATGTGAAGAAAAAAAATAAAAAATCTAGAGGTATATTTTTCTTATTGTTACTTTCAGATCTCAGTGCACACTCTCAGATCCAGTCACTCCATCAGGAGCTCTGATCGATGAGGCCAAACACCTTGGGAAACTGCTCTTCTCAGTCTGGATAAAAATGAAGACTCTAATCCAATACAGTAAGCAAAATATTGTTGTTTCTGACTCCCCTTTTTGACCTTATATCTGAAGTACCTGGGACTTTTGCAAGTACCTGTTGAATGTTTTCATTAAGTAAAAGAACAAGATGTTGTACTAAAACCCTATTATTTCTATTTCTTTACCCAATAGCTCCTGTAGTTATGGATCCCAACACTTGCGCCCAGAGAATGACTGTATCAGAACATTTGACTTGTCTAACATCATGCAATTCTACATTATTTCCTGAAAACCCTGAAAGGCTGCGTGTTTCAGATATTCTTGGATATGAAGGCTTTAGTTCTGGAAAGCACAGCTGGGATGTAGAGGTAGATGGTTACTGGGCTGTTGGTGTGGCTGCTCGAACCAGTGTGTCTTATTCTAAAAAGATCTGGGGCATCTATGTGTGTTCTTGCACTAACATTCTGCGTGAACTTACACCAGAAGACTATGTCAAAGAGGTAATGAAAGATTCATTTCCTCAGAAGGTCAGAGTGAACTTAGATTATGACAAAGGGATACTATCATTTTTTGACCTTGGCCGGAAAGTGCCCGTACGTACCATCAGATACACTTTTACCGAAAAACTCTTTCCATACTTTTGTAATAAGACAAAAATTCTTCCACCTGAATTGTCAGTAGGGATAACACAAGTAAAATAGACATTCTGCAAAACTACAAAGTCCTCCTAAAATAAGGACTCATTTGAAACTCTCTTTTTTGTAATGTTGTGGATATTTACAATGTAACCAAAATTTTCAGTGATTGAATGTAATAGATATACAGTATTTCCACAATGCCCCATATTGTGGCTAATATCGGTCTACATGTATACATAGTATATGAGGTAATACCACATGACACTAGTGTACGACCATCTCGCTCTCTTTTTCTCAGCCCACTAAAACACTCACATGTATGAATCCACAGCCGTGCTGATACTGAATCTCGGTGGTATTACAGCTGGAATGCCTGCTATGTTTTTTCAACTAATGAAAGAATGAAGAAAAACAAACAGAGGGGCAAAATTAAAAGAGAAAAGGGATCGAGAGAAGAAAACACTGAGGGAGAAAAGGAAAAAATGGAAGAACGGGGCATACGGGCTTCATTTAGTCTGGACTCCTCTGCATGTTTTACACGAGTCTGAGTCTGCTTTTGTCAGAGCTAATGAAGGTTCGAGATGGAGAATGACTGACAAGCCTGCTTAACTGTGGTGTGAGGGAATTATGTTTGAATTACTTTAATTTGAGAAACGTGTATTTTTCAGATTTATATGAAGGGAATTTTGCTTTTGCTATTTTAAAAGTTGTTTTAATCATCAGTATATTGTTCATATTTTCTGAGTTAAAATTGATTTGTAAATGTACAGACCTTACTGCAAACTCAATTGTGACAAATTGCAATTTCTGGAATAAAAATGTGCTTCCTCTATGGTTTGTTGTTGTTGTTTACTCACACTGTTTTCCCTACACAGTCAATTTCTTTAAAAGTGTAGCAACTGTTTTTCTCTCTCAAAATCCCCTTTAAATAATCAATCATTTGATATTTGGACAGAGAACTGAGCCACTGAGCAGAATATGTCAAATGTTATTTTAAAGGAATTTCTCTTTAAATCAAATCTGAGAATTTTCGAAGCTCAAGCCGTTGTTTTTGTAAGTTCGTGGACATTAGTGTTGTCCCAAAACATTACAGAGAAAGTCAAGAACTTTTTTTTAGCACCAGATAATTTCCTTAGATAAATTAAGAGGGACATAAATATAATCGTTGTGTGTATATTGTACATGGGATTCAAACATGTAGGTACTTTATGTGAGTGTGCTGTTCATAAATCACTGCGCACAGGTCAGAGGTAAAGACGCACTGAACTAATGAAGCAGGACAAAGATATCAAAAGTGGAGCAATGAGATTGACAACACGGCTCCGAGCAGGAGTGGTAACAGTAAGCAGGTCACAAGTTTAGATAGGAATAGAAAGAAAACAAGCGAGATGAGCAAAGGGAGGGGAGAGATGTGCCAACTGCCCTGAGGTTCGAGACATAAGATCTGTAGTACTTCGGACCAGCGCTTCTGTAGTCAGACTTGGCTTGGCTTCTGAGGAGATGACAGTGTGTCTCAGTGTATGTGCTCAGTTGGTGATGAAAGAGTTGCAAATGTGCAATACTGTGCCAATTTTCTAAAGAGCCCTTGTAGAGATTTAGATTATTTATCATGTAATACCATCAGGTATCATTTGAGTGACCTCAGATTCAGTCTGCAACATGGAAATGACCCCAAACACGCAGGTTGGCCCTGAATACACTATATGAATAAAATGCCTTATAAAAGTTGTATAGGATAAAGGTATAATCATCTCTTAGTTTACTCAGATTGCACAGAGTGTATATTTGTTAATAATTTGAATCATTTTGGATAAGGATAAGTGTAAGATAATGGGGAATTTCAGTTTTTACTTTATAATTTGTTTAGTGTAAGACTTACAGTTAAATTGTATTTTTTTCTTGCCTTATTTAATTTTTACGTACTGTTCCTTTAACACACGGTAACTGTGCACGGGGGGAGCGTTTTTGCGACGGACAGTGTGGAGCAACGGGGGCTTTAACTAGCTGTGGAGAAAAACAGTTTCTTACCGTGTTTGTAGTGTACATGAGCATTCAAACGGATCACTGTATTTGTGGATCACTGTGGAAATAAATGTTTGCCTGTTTGTTTTTCGACTACAAGCGGACTTTGTGGATTGTGTTCAACTGCACTAAGACACGCGTACGGCCTGACCACCAGCTAGTGCTTCCGCGGTAATAAAAGTATTGAAAAGTACTAGGCCACACCTCTTGATCTTTGAATCCTGGTCCCAATGCCACAACATCAAGCACCTAAGCACTGTGCCTTTACAAATATTTGCAAAAGAATGGGTCATTCTAAAGAGCTCAGCAAATACAAGAGTGATACTGTAATATGATGCTAATATTGCCCGTAGATAATCCATTATCAAGTATCAAGTCGTATTAGTGCAGACTCAGCAACAAAGTTACAGAGTGGGTATTGTTATCAGCATAAAAACTGTGCACTGGGAGCTTCATGCCATGGATTCCATGGCTAGGCAGTTCCTATAAGAACGATGTAAGTGGTCCGCTACTTTTGCCCTTGTAGTGTAGCTTGAGCGACAAGAAGAAGTTCAGCAACAGACAGTATGGTCTCCACAGAGCCAGTGTAGTCCCAGACTCACTGAGTCAGGCTCAAACTACACAAAGAGAACTAAGACACATAGAAAAAGCCGGAATCCACAGAACAACTTAATTATATGCACTATAAATGGGAGCAAATATCTGTTTTTCTAATTTTTTCACAGTATTATTAAAACCTGACTCTCTTTTTTTTCATTAAGAGCTTGCAAACCTTTGCACAGTGTGCACAAATGGATAGATGATGGACATACAAATCAGTTAAAATAAGTGGTGGAATAAGAAAAACAGCTATACGCACAACAACCTGTATGCACACGCGACAGTTACTGAAAACACCACAGCAGTCAGTGTACATAAAGTAATATATAGATAAATGAGCATGAGCATGGAAACACACGTGTGCACTCTTATGCGGTTGTTTTTCCATCTGCTCCTTGTTTTCAGGTCCTTCTTGGTCACTTTTTACTCTTGTTATTGTGGTCTGGATATCTTCAAGAAACAAGACTCCGAGTATAGGATGTTGTCATCTCTCTCTCTCTCCTGCATTATGTTTCGTTTGGAGGCAATCACCGAGAAGAATCTGAGCAGTACGTGTCCTCAGCAATCATAATCATGAACTCCCCACTGGTCTGATACACACACACACACACACACACACACAGGCCTGATTGCTCCTCAGTCTGGTCTGTATAATGTTATAGATGCAGATTGAACATGCCAGTCAGGACCTCACAGGAGGACACTGGGAGGAAAAGTGACGCAAGAGAGGAAAGTAATAATTTATTAGAAAATCTGAGTAAAATGTAGCAATGAAAGAAAGTTAGTGCCAAATAAAATCTTTCTCTGACTAAAACGATGCTAGACTTTAAGAGACTGGGCTTTCACCCTGTAATAAATGATTAACAAACTGTTTTGCAAATGTTGCAATCTGTAACATAAAGGCGCACACTAATACACACACTTAACGCTCGTTGAGCTGCGATATTCAAGTGCTCTGATAAAGTGCTGTCTGGTGTTCTCTCACTCTCTAAGCCCCCTGAGACTAGATCAATACTCACTCAGCGTCAAGTTACTGCTAATGTCTTCATGTTTTTAACCAGGCAGTGTGTGCGTGTGGTTAGTGAACCTGTGTGTGTGTGTGTGTGTGTGTGTATGTGCCCCTGATGTGACCCAAGTTATAATTATCATTAGATGTCAATGAAAGTGAAAGGAAGAGTGAGACTCTCCAAAAAATTCCCAAAGTCCTGACCCACAGCGCCCCCTAAGGACAAGTATTGGAAGCTGCAGCTTTCCTGAAAGATTGATTTACTTCTGTGAGAGGAAAGAAGCTCAGTTAACTTATGAGAAATTCAATGGTTGACTTATATTTGAGAATACCTTTATGTCTTCCATAATTAGCCTACATTCATACCTATAAATTACAGGGTCATACAGAAGAATATTGTAGCAATATATGTCCTGAATCAACAGGCATACATTAGCTCACACCCAATATAGTGTGGTTTGCAGGATTTTAAATAAAAGGATGCTCTGTTTGATTAGGTGTCTGCACATCAGACAGGAACCAAATAGAAAAACTTATCAAGAAGCCTGGCTATGTGGTCAGGTCTGAAGAGAAGAGAGTCCAGCAGTTTATGGAGAGATGAATGCTCTAGAAGCTGAAATCAGTTATGACCTATACTGCACATCCACTTCATACCCTTCAGGTTGTCAACCGTAGCATTTTCAGTCAAAGACTGCAACTCTGAGCATCCCAGGAGGTCCTTCATACCCACTGTGATAAGACTGTTTATAGAAAAATAATTATATATTTTCATCTGCATATTTGCATGTTGGCAAATATTAATTCAATTCAATTCAATTTTATTTATATAGCGCCAAATCACAACAAAAGTCACCTCAAGGCGCTTCATAGATACAGAGAAAAACCCAACAATCATATGACCCCCTATGAGCAAGCACTTTGGCGACAGTGGGAAGGAAAAACTCCCTTTTA